CTTTTCCCTTAACCACTGAATCATCATCCATAAGTTTTCTTCTCTTTTCCGCATCAGGAAGTGTTGATTCTTTCGAAGATTTCTCAAATTGGGCTTGTTTCGATGTCGGATAACCCTCTTGTGAGTTGTTGAATCAGCCATTGGAGATGAAATTTCGAGTTTTCTGGTGAAAGCATAATAATGGTGAAATTAAAAAATTGGTTGAATTCACATAAGAGAATATAACAAGAAAGAATGAAAATTTCTGATAAAAGGTGAATCGATTTACCTGGCGGTGAAGAACATTCCAGCACAAAAACTACCTATACAAAGAAAAAGAGTCCATTTTTGTGAAATAACACTTCTTGATGGCGGTTCTGCCACTCCTCTGTTCTTGAAAGACATTTCCAATCTAATTTACTCTAATTCTCCTCAGCCAATCTACCTTTTTGGTTAAAACTCCATATGCATAACTGAAAGACAGAACCAAATCAAATAAAATCCCATACAGCGAAAACCTAACACCTTTAACACTTACCACAACTTTTTAGAGAAAAAAATTGAAAATTTCGCGAGACAATGGAGATGAATCAGTGGAGAATCGTGGTTGCATTCATGGCGAAGAGACTGGCGTTGAGAGAGAGAGATGGTGGAGAGAGATCGTGGTTTCTGAAGTTGTATACTATACGGTGGTCTTGTGAGAGAAAGAACATAAAGTAGGAGAGAAAAAAATATTACCCAGCGTATTTAATGGCTAAACGAGAGGAAGTAACCATAAATACATATTTTGCTATAAAACCTAAAAGGTAGCTATAGAAAATAATATTTTAAAAGAATATAGTTATTTATAATAAATAAGGTGTAAAGCTTTGCTATAGGAGGTAAAATTTCCTTAATTATTTGACCCCCAGTAGTAGAAGTTAAGAGAAAAATAATTCTCATGTCAGCATTTTAAAACACAGTGGGCAAAATTCTCTTTGATACCCATAATTTTAAAATCCCGAGCATCGTTAGAATTTCTTGTGATTCAAAATGCTGGCGCTGAAAATACTATTGTGAGGCTATTTTCTCAAATTTTTTTTTAACTAGATCAAAATATAAATAGTGGTTTAAAAAGGGTCCATCTAACGTCATCTGGAGTTGTTTGGTTATGTCACGACCCGATTTCTGATCGAGTCATAACCGACACCCAGTGCTTTAACTTGGCCGATTTCTATGTATATTTCCTACAAAAATAACCAAGTAAGGCAACTTAAATATGTCTATCCTAATCGTGAATTTATTCTCTGATGCCCAGATTCAAGAACTTACTCTATTCAATCTTATATGCAATCTATAGTTCACACTTCCGAGTTCAACTATAAATTTGTAGATGTTTTTTACTGCTAGTTATGTAGTAAAATAAGTAAGTGCAAGATTGAATAAATAAATAAATTTCATAACTCAAGCAAAACAATCAACCACAAACAACAATAGTCAATAACAACCCACCCAAAATAATGGGGTTCTTAGCCACTATTGTTCGTAACAACAATCAAAGTATTGTTTTTAAACATAAAGACAATGAATACTAGATAAAAAATGGAAGAATCAATGAAATTAAATACGTGCTTTGTTCGTGTTTCTAAGCCTTTGAACCTTCAAATTTGACCCCCTTCTCACTAATCACATTTATGGGGTATTTATAGGTTAGGGTCGGAGTTTTCAAGTCGAAATTTGAGTAGGAAAATATAAATGTGCGGATTCAGAAAGAGTCCAGGCCCTAGAGCTCGAGAGGCCTAGATAGGGCGAGCAGGGAACCTCGCGGCGCGAGGGCTATCGCTTGGTCTTCCTCGCTAGGAGCCAGGCGTCGCTTGGCCTGGTGCCTGGTTCTTGGCCTTCTCTGGTTTTCGCCTTTTTCGTATTTTTTTCGTGTATTTTCGGCATCTCTGCATGCTATCTTCACTCGTTTTCATCTTCCAATAATCCTACACATAAAAACAACTCGATTGAGCTCAAATGTCGCACATATTAACATTAAAGGCCAAGATGTAAGGTGAGTATACACTAAAAATATATTTTTATAGCCAAATATCAAGGTTAGTGTTCGCGTAGGCTAGGCAGGCAAGCACTCTGCATTCGCGATTGGAGGCCCGCGTTCACACAGAAGGGCGGCAGCTAGGCAGGAGTTTTGACCTTCACGATCGTGAAGGTTGTCCTGCGATCGCGTAGTGTATAACTGGGCAGTACACTTAATGATATAATTTTGTTATTTTGTCTGTTCTCTCATATTTTGAACCCTAAACTTCGAGAGGTGGAGAATTTGGAGTGCAAGTTCACTACTATTTTGGAGGTAAGCAATTTTTACTTGGATTTGACTTTATTATCATGATTTTTCGTAGATACATCTAAAAGCTTGGATTTTAAAGTGAAATTTAGGGAGTTTTGGCAAGACTTTTGGAAAGCAAATTATTGGATTTGAACCCTGACTTGGTGTCGATTTTGAATGAAACTTGTGTATTTGGACTCGTGTTAAAATGTGTGTTCGGGATTTTTGAATTTTGTCGGGTTGAGGTACGGGCCCCGGATTGACTTTTTAGTTGATTGCGTATTTGTATAAAGATCGAAGCTTTATTGTTTGGGGTTATTTCCTATGGCTTTATTTGGAATTATTGAGTTGTTTTAAACTATATTTAGGTCATTTGGAGTTTAATTTGAACGGTTAGGCAGCTTTTGCTTGATTTGAGGTTGTCAGGCGAAAGTAAGTCTCTTGTCTATCATTATAAGAAGAAATTCTCCCCATATGTAACTTGATTACTATTTGATTCATGATTTAGGAGTCACGTATATGCGAGCTGAGGAATGTATATGCGTACTAGGTTTTGGATTGTATCCAGTATTTGTTGACTTGAGTTGTGCTTAATTTATTGAGTTATATGGACTGCTATTCATGTTCAAATTGATTCTATGACTACTCAATAATTTATATCCATAATTTAGGAGCATGCCTAGGATTATGACTTGTTGATTTGACGTGAGGATCATATTACCATGTCAGACTTTATTATAAATTCATAATCATATATTTATTTTATTTGCTCCATGATCTCTATGGTGTAACTAGCTCATGATAATAATATGATTAAGCTAAAAAATAGCTCATTGAGCCATTGGGATAAAAATGAGTTTCATGATTTGCCATAGCTAACACTTAGCCATTAGAGCGTTTTATCCGCATTCTTATTATCATGTCTTTGACCCCCTTTATTATATCGTTTATTACACATATGCATGAGTGGAAAGTGATTATTCGGAGGAGTTGAGGATTTTGGCACTACGGGCACTTGAGCGAATATTGGTACTGATTATTGGATTGAGGATGTTATGGATTGGGTCGGGTTGCGCACCTCAACAGTTGATTGATGATTATTTTTTGTAAAATGATCGACGTTTGGATTATGGATCCGTCCCTCCGCTTTGGGTTACTGAAAAAAGGATCCTGAACATGCATATTTATATTTGATTAGGCTCATGCTATGAATTGAAATAAGTATTGTTTACTGGTATCAATTTCACTTGAGAATTGAGATGACTGTTATCTTATTTGATTCCAGATATTTGTAAAGCATGTCTAAATTCCGTATGTGTTGTGCTTTCAGCTTTTATACTTGTTGATGATGCCATGCCTAGCTTTCTATTGGATATTTCTCTCACCTGCTTATTTGACTGCTAGTGAGTGACGGAGTCGACCCCTCGCCACTACTTATTCGAGGCTAGATTTGCTACTTACTGGATACCGTTGTTTGTACTTATACTACGTTTCTGCACATTTTGTACAGGTTCTGAGGCTGGTACGAGTGGTATCCATCCGGGGCAATAGGTGGATCCGTGAAGACTTCGTGGTGAGCTGCTCAACTCGATCGATTAGCAGCACATAGAGTCCCCCTCCCTGCTTCTCTCAAATGTCTATTTACGTTAATTAGACAGACAGTATGTACAAATATTTCTCATACTCTCATTAGTTGCTTGTGGTGATTGTGACATCCGCTTGGGCGATATTGGCAGTTATGGTTGTGTTTAGACCCTGCCTTGGATAGTTATCTACATTATTAGACTTGAGATATTCTGTTTCTTATCTTATTGAGCATTTGGTTAAAAGTTGATTAATTTGCTTTAGATTCATGATTCTAATTGTGCTCGCTTGTCTAGCGAGCCGGTTAGGCGCCATCACGATCTTTGGTGGGATTTCGGGTCGTGACAGTTCATTGCCATAGGGATGATTAGATTTGATTAGCTAAAGTGACAACTACGAAATGACATCACCTATTGTGTTACAACAACTGATATCGTGACTCTCCATCATAGAGAGTTTTAGATAACGAAGGAGTTCCTAGAAAAACAGTAGAAAAGTAAGAAAATTTGTAGGAACTCCAGCACAAAATGCTGGAATTTAATTGTTAAAGCTCGAAATCTAGTATATTGCGTGAGAGTTTTTATGTACCAGTTTCATCTGTCATTGCAAAGAAGAAGAAGAAGAAGCGGAGAGGAAGCGTAGGGTTTTAGGGATATTTTTGTCTAGGTATTATTTTCACTTGAAAGTAGCTAAATTTCAATTAATTTTGAAAGAGTGGCTTATTTTCAATTACCAACTTGAAATATTGGGCATAAGAAACTTGTGAATTCAACACATGATTTGCATAGGAAATATTGGGCGAGTTTCGAGAGTTGAGCGTTAGGCGTGTTTTAGGGCGTACCGTTAGGCACTTGTGGGCATAAACCTCACAGAACTAAATTACACACATGAATCTCAAGACATTTTGATAGTGCCTCGTCCGGGACGAGTCCCATAAAAGCCTTTTAAAACAGTGCTTTCAATTACCAATTCGAAATATGGGTGCTTCTGAATTTCTGCCCGGAGACCACCGAGGCACTAACTGGAGAAGGTTCTAGAAGGATGCCTCATCACTTCGAGAGACCCAATAACTTGTGGCCCAACCCAACCCAAGCCCACTGGCTCTACTTTTGAGCAGCCTATCCGCCTCTTCTGCGCTTTCCCACAGTTTAAAAGCCTTCCCATCCTCCCCCTTGATCACAAACACATCGATTTCTCCGACGAACGAACATCACATTATTTTGAGTTTTTTATTCTCACAAAATGGCAGTGAAGAAGAGTGTGGGATCACTGAAAGAAGCAGATCTGAAAGGGAAGAGAGTATTCGTGAGAGTTGATCTGAACGTTCCATTGGATGACAACTTCAATATTACTGATGACACCAGAATCCGAGCTGCTGTTCCTACCATTAAGTATTTGATGCAACATGGATCTCATGTTATTCTTGCCTCTCATCTTGTAAGCTTTGCTATTTTTTGCTATTATAAACCAAATGCCTTTTGCTTTTCTTTTAGTTGTTTGATTATTCCAATATTACGACGCTTTATTACTGATGACACCTGTATCCGAGCTACTGTTCCTACCATTAGCCTTCGATTCTAGTAGTACCAATTTAGAGATGTTATTGTTGATATTTGTCGATATATGTAATAGATGAGTTTAAGTTATGGACTGGCGGTGTAACAGTATTTACACGATCACGTCATTTAATCTATATGAGATTGTCCTTTATGAGATAGTTAAAGGTAAATTATATGATATTGTCACTTATAAGCAGGGGTGGAACTAGTTGGGGTTCATCCAAACTCCGGAAATTGCATTTTATATACAAGGTCAAAATTATTTTTTCTATATATAGTAGATGTTGAATTACCTAGGATTCCTCGTGTGTTTACTTCTTTATTTTAAATCACTTAAATGAAATTTTTACCTCTGCATTGTTTTTAAGGTAGTTACAGGTAAATCTGTATAAGATAGTCACTTCTAAGGTAGCTACAGATAAATCTAAATGATAAGTATTAATTAATAAAATGGTTAAAAGAAGAACTAACCTGCTGGCTGCTATCATAGATTAAAAATATACTAATAGTGTAAAAAATCTTTATATTGTCAGTATATATGACTTAAATCCATAGTAGATTTTTGGTTTCTAAATTCTGTTTTTCTCTATATTGTCAAGTTTATTTTGTAATTACTTGTGTATTGTCACTTATGCATGTCGAGTGTTTATAGTATGCGTGATTTTCATATTTTGATCAGGACCTGTTGGTTAATGGGTATTTTCAATAGATTTTTCTCTTTGGTAAATTTAGCCTCATTGTCTTATGGTTTGGAGGTTAGAGAAAGAATGGAACTAGAGGAAAGAAAAAGCCTTTCTCTTGCTCATGTTTAGTTTGGCATAGAAAAGAAAGAAATAGATTAGAGGGTATTTGGTGTTAGGATAGGATTGGAAGGATAAAAAGGAAAGGGGTCTTACATTAGTTTGGTTAGTATTTATGTTACCGGCAAAGCTTCAAGCAAATAATTGCAATCAAACACGTTAAAATGAACCCACTGTCTTGCTTTTGTCGGCATACCAACTTCTGGTTAAAATTGATTTTAGCTCACTTCCAATGTATACATGCCTTCCCGTTTTCTATCTCTAATCTTCAACTTAAAAAGTGCCTAAGAATAAAAACCTATTTATAAAAAAGTTACTACAAGAGAAAATTTAAGGAATGCAAAAGAGGGACTCAGTCTTGGCCTAAAGGAAAGCTGGTAAAGAGATTATAATCATGTGGGAAGATAGAAAGGAAAAGGTCATAAAGAGAATGTTATCTCAAGGGAAAAGAGAAACAAAGTAATCAGTCTGGTGGTCACTTGAATGGGACACAACCTAGATAGAAGGTCTAGCTAACCAAAATGGAGGTGAAATCACTAGAGGAAAATGATGCAAAAGGACATCCAAGCTTTGCTTGTTTCAGTAGTTGAAAGTTCTATTTGGACTTTGTTTGTGATATTCTGCATTTTTAATGTGAATTATTTTTACCATCTCCTGTTAGTGAAGTTTCTCTATCTTTTAGTTCTCCGTGTATCTGTTTTCTGATTATTGAATTGCTGGTTCCAGGGTCGTCCAAAAGGTGTCACTCCAAAATACAGCTTGAAGCCACTTGTACCAAGACTGTCAGAGCTATTGGGACTTGAGGTCTGTTTCATGTTCTGTTTCTGGTTATCTTTCTTGGCAATTGTTTCTTCTAGGGCTGTCTAAAGAGGTTGTCGTACTCCAATTTTACCCACAGGTCAAGATGGCAGATGATTGCATTGGTCCAGAAGTTGAGAAGTTGGTTGCCGAAATACCAGAAGGAGGAGTTTTGCTGCTGGAAAATGTGAGATTCTATAAAGAAGAGGAGAAGAATGAACCCGAGTTTGCAAAGAAGCTGGCGTCTCTTGCAGATTTGTATGTCAATGATGCCTTTGGGACTGCACACAGAGCACATGCTTCCACAGAAGGGGTTGCTAAGTACTTGAAACCGGCAGTTGCTGGATTCCTTATGCAAAAGGTACAAATTACTTTGGACTGTGAAATGTATGAAGAAAATTTGGTAGGTCGGGAACAAGCATGCACTAAGATTAGCTCAATTGTTCAGCACAATATTTTTCTTGCTCAGTTAATCATAAAATAAGAAGTATCACGAATAAGTCATAAAAGTTATCGAAAACAGTATGATGATCTATCTAGCACAATATTGAATGGTCAATAGTGGTTAACACAGTTTTGTGTATTAGGCTGGAACTCTTTTACTGCCTTGTAGGTGGCTTAATTTTCTTTTATCTTTATTTCTTACCCCGAATCATGATGCTTTTAGGAACTTGACTATCTTGTCGGAGCTGTATCAAATCCACAGAAGCCATTTGCTGCCATTGTTGGTGGTTCAAAGGTTTCAAGTAAGATTGGCGTGATAGAGTCACTTTTGGAGAAGGTTAACGTGTTATTGCTTGGTGGAGGTATGATCTTTACTTTCTACAAGGCCCAAGGATATTCTGTTGGATCCTCACTTGTGGAGGAGGACAAGCTTGATCTAGCAACATCACTTATTGAAAAGGCAAAGGCAAAAGGTGTATCTTTATTGCTTCCTGCTGATGTAGTGATAGCAGACAAGTTTGCTGCTGATGCCAACAGTAAGGTAAACGGCTTTTTTGGCAATGGTATCTTATTCTACTTGTAGCCAGTGTCTTAACTCTTTATGACTGGTCCTTTTTTCTTTGGCCTTTCAGATTGTTCCAGCATCTGAAATTCCTGATGGCTGGATGGGGTTAGATATTGGACCTGATGCTATCAAGTCTTTTGCCGAAGCTTTGGATACCACCAAAACTATCATCTGGAATGGACCTATGGGAGTGTTTGAGTTTGAAAAATTTGCTGCTGGAACAGAGGTATAAATCGAAGATCTTGTTTAGTTGCGCCAATGAGGTTATGTGCCAGTAGGATTATTTTTCTCGTGTAGAGTTCTGAGGCGTCGTAGAATGCTCCCTTTCCTTAACTGATGTTGACTGCATGTATAATCTCTTTTGGCATATATAATCCAGGCTATTGCGAAAAAACTGGCAGAGCTTAGTGGAAAAGGAGTAACAACAATCATAGGGGGTGGTGATTCTGTTGCCGCCGTTGAAAAGGTGGGGCTAGCAGACAAGATGAGTCACATTTCAACTGGAGGGGGTGCCAGCTTGGAGCTTCTGGAGGGGAAGCAGCTTCCTGGGGTGCTTGCCCTTGATGATGCTTAAGCAATATTTATGCTCTTCCCTCTTCCGCTTTTTGCAACTGTTCTGTTTGAATTTTGTTAGTAGCGGATTAAGATGAGTGTTAAATAGAGGGTGTAGAGACGTGGATCAAACTGTAATAAGCGTATGCTGGGCTCTCATTTTGTGGCAGTACAGGGCGAAGTGTACTCTGCTTTTTGAGAATAATACAGATCTTTCCAGTGGTTGATGCCTGTAGCTTAGTTACTGACGAATTACTGGTTTGTTAGTCGTATACTATAATGGTCTATGAGAGTATTTCCGCACCGTACTTTAGTTTTATCCTTTTCTTTTGTGCGTTTCAAATATGTATTGACGTCTGATACCTTCAAGTCAAGCTGTCTAGATCATGACTTGGAAATCGAGAGTCTTTGCTGTTGACTGTGAGTGATTAGCATAATGAGATTGGAATGTCTCGTACAAATCCTTAACAGTGTTTTGTAATCTCAGCTTCGCGAGTATGAAGATGATTAGAAGTTAGTGGCATGAGGTCATATATCGGTCTCATTAGAACCTAGGTTATATTGAGTTTATAACATCGTAAGTAAATCTGGAGACTTCGGAGTGATCATTGTTAGTAAATCTAGGATATACAAGACTAACATCGATAAATATTGCTAGGATCGAAAACATCATGTGTCTTGCGAAAACTAGTAAAGCAAACCTTGAATAACAATAAATCAGACAACAATAAAAAAGAAATATACCACTTGAACGATAATAAATCAGACAACAATAAAAGAGAAATATATCAAAGAGACAAACATTTAATGTGGTTCGGTCAATTGACCTACGTCCGGGCGGATTCACTATATAAAAGAGTACAAAATATCGAGAGAACAACCTCGTGGATGCTGATGAATGAGAAGGAAAGATCCTCAATTTATATACGTTCAAACATTTTCCTCCAAAAAAAGAGACTATCTAAATATGAGAGATATATAATTTTCTTCTAAAAAAAAAATCCAATTATGATAAATACTAAATATGTTGCCCTTTTATTCAAAAATATGAAAATTAAATATGATTAGAAAATCAGGACAAACACCTGACAAATATATTTTTACTAATCTCAGATTTGTGTTGTCCAGTACTATCTAAGTTAATTGCGTCAAAACGAGAGGTTGTAGTCATGTCAAAGGAAATATGAAGAATATGCCAAATCGGATAATGGGTCTGTATAGTGATTCTTCGTGTAATTTCGAACTGCATTCACCCTACCACTTTTATTTATTGTGCTAAATCTTTCTAAAATCCCATTACACTTCTCTAGATATTGAAATACTATGGATACTCGGACAAAAATTAGACATTTCATACCTCGTGAGTGTTAAAAAACTAAGTTCAAAATAACAATATAAAATAATAAATAAATAAAAGATGTAGAGAGGAAGAAAGAACTTTCTTATTTCATTAAATATTTTCTAAGTATCTACAATATCACTTCTCATCTTGTATTTATAGTATTACATATAGGTATACAAAAGAATGCCATAAACATGACATTAAACATTTGAGATTATGGAGGAAGATCACGGGGGAGGTTATGGAGGTATGAGAGTTTGTGATGACCCGATAGGTTACTTTGAGTCCAAGCCTTTATTTCCGTGTTTCGAGACCTCGACTAGCTCCGTTTAGTATTTCTCGATTTGCGTGCGCAGCCGTATCTTATTCAGGAAAGCTTTTATGTGAAAAATTTAAAAAATATGGGAAATCTAGCCTTAAAACTCATTTGAGTTAACCACGGTCAATATTTTATGTAAACGGACCCTACAGTCCCGGTGGGTGCGCATCGTGATTTCGGACTTGGGCGTACGCCCAGGATCGAATTCGGAAGTCCCTAACTTGAATTAACGTGATTTATTGAAAACTAATAATTTTGAAGGTTTAAAGAATTCCTAAATTTGACCGTAGGTTGACTTTGTTGCTCCCGAATTCGAATTTTGATTCCGAAACTTGGAATAGGTTCACTTCACTATTTAAGATTTGTTTGCAAAATTTGGTACTAAATGGAGTTGATTTGACGTGATTCGGACGTGCGGTTGTAAAATTTCATGTTCTTGAGTTCTTTCAAAAATTTCGTACATTTTGATGTCCAATTCGTAGTTCTAGTTGTTATTTTGGTGTTTCAATCGCGCTAGCGAGTTTGTATGATATTTTTAAACTTGTGTAGATGTTTGGTTTGGACCCCCGAGTGCTCGGGTGAGTTTCAGACGCGTTTCGGAGAGTTTGGAAGTTATTGGTGTGACCTGGCATGCAGGTCTCGCAATTGCGAGATCAGGGGTCGCATTTGCGACATAAGGCCAAGTCTGTGATGATCGCATTTGCGAATATTTTGTTCGCAATTGCGAAGATGGCCTAGGAACTCAGGGATCGCATTTGCAATCATTTGATCGCTTAATCATCGCATTTGTGATGATAGCAGAGGTGTGAGGTTCCTCGCATTTGCAGGGTTCGGATTTGCGAACCCCGGGTCGCATTTGCGACATCTGCGCTTGGACAAAAAGCCGAGAGATGGTTTTTTAGCCTTATTTTTCATATTTTGGGACCCTAGGCTCGGTATGAGGCGATTTTGACGAGGGAATTTTATCTACAAACTTTGGGTGAGTGATTGTAATCCATTTCTAGTCATATTCCATCAACTTATCTTAGATTTTAACATCAAAATCATGTGAGTTAAAATGAAAATTGGTGAAACTTTGTCAAGTTTATGAAAAATAAGAAATTGAGTTTTGAGAGTCGATTTGGACTCGAATTTTATAACTAATTATATATATATGAACTCGTGGGGTCATGGGTAGTCGGAATCTACCATTAGACCCGGGTTTTGACCTGGCGAGCCCCAGATTGACTTTTCTTGTCTTTTTGGGAAAAGTATAAAGATCTTAACTTTATCTATTGTAATTGATTTCCCTAGCATTGTTTGTTGATATTAAGTCGATTTTGGTTAGATTCGATTAGTTTGGAGGCGAATTTTAGAGGAAATGCCCTGGTTGAGCTTTGATTTGGTTGCGGAGCGAGGTAAGTGTTGGATCTAACTTTGATTTTAGGGAATTATGAACCCTTGAACTATTTGTTATGTGAGTTACGTGTGTAACGACGTATATACGAGGTGATGCGTGTATATATGCCATCAAAATAATTGTTTCCATGCTTTTTCGTATTTCATGTCTTAACTGTTACAAGCTTTAATTGCTTTTATGCCGTAATTTATTACTTGTCATCAATTATTCTTGTATTGAAATGTTCTTTCTTTCCATGACTCCATGATTAATTGCTACTTGCCTTAATTGTCTTACTTGTACACTTTAACTGTCACATACTTGGCTTGTTTTTGTTGCTCTTGTATTTTCCTTTGATTAGTACGTGGTTTCTTTATTGCTTTGCTTTCAAATTCTTTAATCATAGAGATTCTTGTGAATTGAGCTGTTGGATTGATTACATTTATTGAATTTGTTTATGGATCGAGTTGCCTACCACAATGATTGTGATATGGTGGAATAAGGGAGGATTTTGATATTGATATGGAAGGATCAAGTTGCGAGCCGTAACGGTTGTGTATGTAATAATTGATACTGATAAATTGTGACATGGTAAAATAAGGGAGGATTATGATATTGATATGATGATATGGTAGGATCGGGTTGTGTGCCGCAACGGATTTTATATGTGATTCCTGACATTGATAGGGTGAAATAAGGGAGGATTATGTGTGTATGTTGGGATCAGGTTGCGCGCCGCAGCGGATTATGTGTGTGGTATTCATTGTTGTTATAGTGTTGATTTCCAGTGTTGTTACATGAAATTATGAGATCGGTTATTCCGGGTTCTCTGATTACAAGAATTGAGTTCGTTTTCATAAGTTAACTGCCTTACCTTTCTTGTTTTCCTTTCTTCTTCTTATTATTATTATAATACTGCGTACAAGTTATTGTAAGTGACCCGCTTTAGCCTCGTCACAATTTCGTCAAGGTTAGGCTCGGCACTTACTGAGTATATGGGGTCGGTTGTATTCATACTACACTCTACACTTCTCGTGCAGATTTTAGAGTCGGTCCTAGCGGTGGCCAGTAGATTGCTCAGATTCGGTGCTTGACGGAGACTTGAGGTACACGCAGCCCTCAAGTCCCCTTCTACATTACTCTAGCTGTTTATTTTGATTCAGACAGTTATGCTTTCATTAAGACTATTATTAGTAGTACTTTAGACACTCGTGTATTCGTGACACCATTTCTGGATTTGTATTCGCATATCGTCGTTATCAGATTTATCTACTTTATTTAGCTTATTGGTTTTCATTTGATTTGAATTATTAAAAATGGTTAATAACTATATCAAATGTTAGTTTGCGTAGCAAGTGAAATGTTAGGAGCCATCACAGTCCCGAGGGTGGAAATTCCGGATCATGACAAGTTGGTATCAGAGCCCTAGGTTGCCTAGGTCTCATGAGTCACGGGCAAGCTTAGTAGAATCTGGAGGATCGGTACGGAGACATATGTACTTATCTTCCAGAGGCTATGGAGTTTAGGAACAATTTCACATCTTTCCTTAAGTATCGTGCAATTTTATTCTATCATTGATGATTGAACCATTTTATTTTTGTTCTCTCGCAGATGACGAGAACACTCACAACATCTGCAGCCGGAAAGGAGACGGAGCCCCCTGTGAAACTACTACCAGGGGCCGAGGCCGAGCCAAAGGTAGAGTTTAGCTTGGAGCTCAAGCTGCAACACCCACAATGGAGACCCAGATTGATCACGTGGAGGAGGTGTCAGCTCAGGCCATACCCGTCGGACTAGCTAAGGTTCCGGAGCGGTTCATAGCCACGCCAGTTCTTCAGGACACTCTAGTCCGCTTGGTGGGCCTTATGGAGAGTGTGGCCCAGATTGGTGCATTCCAGTGGCACCAGCCATCTCTCGGGCTGTGGAAGGAGCACAGACTCCAACTACTCACACCCTGGAGCAGGTGGCTCCCTTATATCAGACTCCAGCAACCCCGCCAGTTGGGGTGGTTCAGCCGGTTGTCGCGGCACGGGCCAATGATAGGCCCGCTATGTCTTCTGAGGCCTTGTTGAGGTTGGATAACTTTACTAAGTTCTTTCCGGTTCATTTCAACGGGCATCTTCTCAGGACCCACAGGCACAAGGTGTTGTGCAACACGGGTATTGTTGAGACCAATGGGGTTGACTTTGCAATGTTTCAGATGACTGTTTATGCCAAGAGATGGTGGATATATTATATGTTGACTAGACCAGCTGGTTCGCCTGCTCTTACTTGAGATCA